GGCGAAAGGGAGGTGATTCCAGTTATTCTCGAGGTAAATCCTTGTTCTCATTGGTTTTGTGTGTTTAGTTTTTTTTTTCTTTTGTATGTTTGTTATCAGGGCTGCGTTTTCGAGGATGAGTTAATGTTTTCGGTGTGGGGGTTTTTTGCATGGCGTTTTTGTGGGTTGTCGGTGGGAGGGGGGTTGTGGCGGTGTTTCGGCCGGAATCTTTTTTTTTTTGTTTTGTTTTAATCGCGTTTGTTATTTCCGGCGTGAGGGTTGAGGTATGTCTGTTCCCGGTCGGGGGGGGGGGGGGTTGGAATGGGGGTATTAGGCGGTTGGTTTTGGGTGTTGCAGTGGTGGGGTGGGGGTGGGGTAGGCTGTAGAGTGGGTAGGATTTTGCGTGAAGGTTTTTTTTTTGTGTTTTTTTTTTGTTGTAAGTGTTTTGTACTCTTTTTTTTTTTTTTTTTTTTTGGTAACGGGGGGTTGGGGGGGGGGGGGGTGGGGGGGACGTTCGTGCTGAGTGTTGTTAGGGTGGGGGGTGGCTGCCGATGTATGGTGGATGCTGTTTTTTTTTTTTTTTTTTTTTTTTTTTTTTTTTTTTTTTTGGTGTTTTAACGTGTTGAGTGTTAAATAATTTAATATTTGTTATAAATTGTAAAAAATTATTATTATTATTATTATTATTATTATTATTATTATTATTATTATTATTATTATTATTATTATTATTATTATTATTATTATTATATATATGTTAGTGTGTAATAAGTTGATTTGTGAAGGTTGGTAGTGCGTATTAGGGGTATGTCGTGTGATGAAATCAGTGTATTAGGGTATGTTGTGTAATGTAATCAGTGTGCGTATTACGACTGTGGCATGAGCGTGGAGGGTGGGGGGGGGGGGGGGGGGGAGTGTCTCCGGTGTCTGCGTCGTGGGTATTAGTTTGTGCATGTAACCGTGTATGTGCATGGTACTATGTTGGTTTGTTCGCATGAATCCGTGTGTGATTTTTATTGAATTGGCGTGTGCATATTGTAGGCTAAAGGGTGTTGCAATTTGTTTCCTTCATTGTGTGCCAATAGTATTGTGGGGGTTGTGCGTAGAATGTATTGGTATGTGCATGTGTTTACAGAAGCTTGTGCGTGTGGCTGTAGAAATGTTTTTTTTTTTTTAAATGTAGTGTTTTCTGGATTTTTGTTTTTGAATAATTTTATTTTATTTTTGTTCTAAATTTTAAAAAATTTTTGTTCATTCGGTAGATACAGTGAGCATTAATCATCATTAGCTTGTGTATGTTAACATTTAGTAAAAGAATTTATAAGATTTTGGCTTGTCACGGTTAGGGTTGTGTTTTTGCAAAAGTGTGGAACGGTGTGTGCATATTTTAGGTGGGTGCGATGTCGTGGGGAAGTCTGTGCTCATGTGCATGCTAATAGTTTTTACGATGTTATTGTAATTTTTTTTTTTTGTAACTGTGCATTAATTGTGGTATGACTAGGTGACAATGTTGTAGAGACGGCAGATGCGGTAGAGGTCGTACATTTGCCGTCGTCCGATAATGTTGAAGCACCTCCTGTTGCCCAACCAGACCCGGATTCGAATGGGTCGGATGATGGCCGTGTGTAAGAATACATGTACTGGTTTGTTTGTTTTAGCATAGGTTGTAACTATACCATTGTGGTACTTTTTATTTTTCTGCTGTTTCTAATGTAATTTTATGATGGTGTATGCGTAGACGTACATTAGTTTGTGCATTGTTCTTGTACGAGTGATTTTGGCGTGACATTAGTATTATAATGTATCTGTTTTTGTGTTTGGTTATGGGGTTTTATTACTTAGCGTGAGCATGACTTTTAATCGTATTTCCATTTTCATTTTATCTCAGGGGTCTAATGTTTTGATTTATTTTGTTCCGGGATGCAATTTTTTTCATCGTGGATGTGTTGATACTTGTTTGTGTGTATATGTATGTAGGCCTGTGCATTTCACCGTGGCCCAGGTTTTTTTAGCATGGTATACCTAAATATTATTTGGTTTTCGGCTTCCATAGTCGCGAGTAGCGATTTTCTGCGCGTGTGCTGCTTAACATGACGTTTGCAAAGTAATAGGACCAAATAGTCGATGCGTAGCTCTTTATAGGCATGTGCATTTTACTGGTTTTATGGTCTGTGCGTAGAAGTCCATCAATTGTGCATTGTACTGTATCGAGTGTTTTTGGTATGTCGATGGTATAATAATGTTTATGTTTTTGAGTTTTATTAGGGATCTTTGTTACTTAGAGTGAGCATGAGTTTTAATCGTATTTCCAGATTCATTTTGTCTCAGGGATCCAATGTTTAGCTTTTTCTAACTCGCGGAATGTAAAAATATTTATTTGGGGATGTGTTGTCACTGGTCTGTACGTTGTTGACTGTTGGTGTGTGCATCTCACTGTGAGATGATGTTTGTGCGTGCTATTCTGGTCTGTGCGTGTTCAAAGTAATATGACCTAGTAGTCTATGCGTAGTCGTTTATTGGCGTGTGCATGGTATTCTAATGGGGCTTTGGGAGGGGGGGGGGGGGTCTTTGCAGTTCAGTTTGCGCCAATTTGATGGTGCATACTAATTTGTATGTGCATGTACCAAAATGAATTAACGAAAGTTGCAAACCTCTTTACCCTACAATTTGCACTCACCATACCACGGTAACGCTCACACTTCAAATGTTATGAAACACACAACAACATAAAAAACATCTATTTTCACCTCACATGCCAATCTCGAACCTAGTATCATGGACACACTGAAATACATGTACGAACACACCACCCTAACTACTCAAATATGTTTGACCAAAAGTTAACAGAATTTCCCTCTTGCCTTCTTTTTCTTTAAAAAAAAACCCAACGTATAAAAACAATGCATTATGCACACATCTAATAATAATTTTCTACAAGAAAAATCGTTGGGGCAAAACAAAACTTTCTCCTGCTTTATCCCAACTCGTTGCACACACTTTCCCATTCCCACATTAACGTACACATCAGCGTGTATAAAAAATACGTTGTATAGCAAAACAACCAAATAATACCCATACCGTCTAATTCATTCAAAATAAAATAACAATATCATTCCACGCACACCCCTAATAATAATTTTGGATACAACATTAAGGACAATAAAATTCCAAACCCCTTAACTCTACAAACTGCACACGCTAATTTAAACAGACGCACACCAACACTATAGCCATTACCCAACGGCTTAAGCATTCTTCTTTTCAATTAAAATCAGAAACAAGAATCCCCGATTCCTACATGTTAGCGTTTCATATAAATAGCTCACAACACATCAACCAAATCTAAATACAAATACACACGCCGCAGAACCGGAATGCACAGACCGACGTGACCTAACTAAATAAAAATCAAAACACCAGCACATACCCGTGTTATTACTCATCATCCACAACCTCTAGACTGTTCATGTGCTTCTCCTCACTGTTTTAACGGTTTGAATGCTACAACTACTAACAAGAATGGATTACTACTTATTTCCATTAACTAGTATTTGCGCCCGTGCAATGAACGGAATGGATTTGTTGTAATATATTAAGAATATTTCGATTGATATATAATTATTTAAATTAGAATATCAAATATTATATAGTGCAATTGAAAATATGGTTTGGATTGTTTATATGTTTTGATGTTATCATTGCTTAAATTTGAGTAAATAATTGCTCAAATTAATAGCTAATGTGTAGATGTACGCATGCGGTGCTATAACTTTGAATGTTTTATTTATCATTGTTTAGTATTTTTATAAATTAGGCAAGCGTGCTCATTCTTTAGCAACTCAGTTATAGGAATGAATTGCATGCTATCCTAATTCATTTGTATGGAAAATATATTTTTTGTCTAGATATATAGCAATTTTGTCATTTAAAAAAACATAATATCACCGATTGTATTTACACATTATTGAAACCTCATTGTATACGTCATTGGTAGTAGCAACACAATCTTGTCAATCATCGTCTATAGTTAACATCTTCAGTCCATTAGGATGGGTGACTCCGGTGAAAATATATAATCGTAGAATATCAGTCAATTAGTGATCCTTTTATATTTTCAGTCAATTAGTAATATCATATTCATTTTCAGCCAATTTTTTTTTTTATTTTCTGTCAATTAGTCAATTAGAATATCAGATGTAGTGATATTTTTACCTAATTTCTGTTCTAATTTTAATTGATGATGTAGAATATTATTATTGAAATATTTTTGTTCCATTTTTAATTTACCTTTACTATTATTTAAAATATGCATTTACTATTGATGATGTAGAATATTATTATTGAAATATTTCCGTCCAATTTTTAATTAAAATGCAATGATTTGACCATTTTTTTTTCACTTTAGTCAATTATGAATCATTTTTTATTTGTAGTCAATCTTTTTATATTTCCAGTCAATTAGTAATATCATATTCATTTTCAGCCAATTATTTTTTTTCCGTCAATGAGTCAATTAGAAATCAGATGCAGTGATATTTTTACATAATTTTCATTCCATTTTTAACTGATGATGTAGATATCATTATTATTGAAATATTTCCGTTCTATGGAGGCCTAAATTTTGGAGAGAAATTTTGCTAGGAGAATTTTACTTTTAATTATATATAGATATAGATTTATTAATTAATTAATTATTAATGATAGTTTTTTTTATATTTCCACTAATTTTAAATTTTATAAAATATATAATCGAGATTAATATTTATTTCTATCTCAGCTAAACGTTAAGATGCAAACTTCATTTTACATATTTATTAATACATTTTATACTAGTAATTTTTATATTTTTAGTAACTTATTAATATTCAAGTATTAATATTCATTTCATTTTCCAATTGGCTTAATTTTAATGAAATTTTTTATATTTTCATTAATTTATTAATATTCATTTCATTTTTATTTGTAATCAAGTATTAATATTCATTTCATTTTTTACATTTGAGTCAATTTCGAAGCATTTTTAATTTTCAGTCAATTATTAATAGTCAGTTATTATTTTAATTGGCCTAAATTCTGTGCCCTTTTTATTCTCAGTTAATTATTATTTTTCAAATATTCTTTTAAATACTATAATTTCACATATGAACATGATGTGGATAAACGAAAAAACAAATGAATATTCAAAGTAATGTAAAACCATTAAATCTTTCAATTTAAACAAAAGACAAAAATTTAAATTTTTAAATATAAAATGTATATGCTTATTCATGCAATTGACTGAATATGCTTATTACCAATTATATTATAAACTACAATACATATTATTACCTATTGTGCTATTATGTTATTACCTAATTAATATCTGTTGTACGCGGTATTACCAATAATATATTTAATTAATTGACTACAAAAGTTTGAGCGGAAAAATGAAATAGGATATATATATATATATATATATATATATATATATATATATATATATATATATATATATATATATATATAAGGTATTATTTTTATAATTAAGGTATAATATTATTAAATTAAAATTATTTAAAATATATAGATCCACACTAAGAAAAATTTGATTAATTTCAGATATTAAAAGTAAATATTTATATTAAAGGTGAAATTATAAATAATTAAGTTTCAATAAGTTTAGTTATTTCATAAGTTATATATGGTTAGTAATGAATATTTTCCAATATTAGATTATGTTTATATATGGTTTGCCCGTATTAATCATCACTATGATATATTTATATATATATATATATATATATATATATGGAGGGGATCATGTGCATTTATGTCTTCTCGTGCGGTTGTGCGGGTGATTAATGTGCGTGAGTTTTGTACTCAATGTGCGTGAGTCATGTGCTTAATGTACCTGAGATTTGTGCTTAATGTGCGTGAATGTGTAATGCTTAATGTGCGTGAGTTTTGAACTTAGGGTGTGTGAGTCTTGTACCTAAAGTGCGTGAGTTTTGTACTTAATGTGTGTGAGTGTGTACCTTCCTTTGTTATTTTTGCTGCTTACTTACTTCTGAGACAAACATGATCGTACTATCCACATATACCTCTGTACACTACCTCCGAAATGGAACTCTTATGGGCAAGAAAAACGTAGCAAAAGCTTTGTTTAACTTGTCAATACTTCATAAAAACAAGGCTCTCATGGTGCAGTAAAGCACCTCATAAAAACGCAGCAAAAGCTTTGGTTGCTGTTTTGAATCTTGCTACCATTCATGATGGAAGAATATCAATTGATCAAGAAGGAGGGATCCCCTGCCCGTTGTGGTTGAAGTTGAAACATTATCAGCTAAAAATGCTGAATTTCCAGCCTATTAAAAGCCTATTAAAACTCACGCACATTAAGCACAAACCTCTCACACATTAAGCACAATACTCACGCACATTAAGCATAAATCTCACGCACATTAATCAACCGCACAACCGCATGGGAAGCATTCAACCGCATCTGAACCTTTCACTATATATATATATATATATATATATATATATATATATATATATATATATATATATATATATATATATATATATATATAATTAATCTAGATATATGGATAATATTTATTCAATATTGTTATGAAAGTATTACAATTATAGCTTTGTATATGAAAAACATAGAAACTTGAGTAGCTTAAATCAAAATCATTAAAAATAATGCGTCTACAGTACAAAAAAATTATCCTTGCTTTAATAATTAATTATTAATATAATTTCCCAATATAAATTTACAATTATTAATAATTATTTATGGTAATTATTCGGCATAAAAAAAAAGATAAATAAAAAGAATAAGAAAAATAGAAGACGAAAGAATATATAGATGTCATATGATATCTTACATAAGGTAAATTGATATCAAATTTAATTTAGAATTAGAGTAGGAATAGGAAAGTATGAAAGAATATTTGTAGTAAGGATTGTATTACCATATTTGTACAATTGTAATACGAATAGAAATTGTATTACCATATATTTTACAATATTACGCAAACCTTAATAGTGTAGAAGTCATTTGGGCGGGAATTAAAACATAGGATTTTGTTTGTATATATAGTATATATTACTGATTGTTTTAATAAGCTTATTATTATTAAATTTGGGCGATTAATTATTAATATTCAATTTGATTCTATTATTTTCGCACAATCTTCCCTTTAAATTCTTGATACTACTGATTGTTTTCCATTTTCACTTTTTAAGGGAAATAACCATATTATTAATAAAAGTTTGTGCAAAATTACACAGGAGAATTTTATTTGTATTAATATTATAGAAAATTTTAATTTCATTAGATTTTAAATAAATGTTACCATAACTAGTATTTTCACCCGTGCGATGCACGGAATGGAATTGTTGTAATATATTAAGAATATTTAAATCGATATATAATTATTTAAGAGTTAATTTCACCAGAGGTCGCTTATTTTTTCTGATAATTCCAAATTTAATCCTAGACTATTAGTTATTAATTATTACGATTTATTCTATATTATTATAATTCTTACGTTAATATTCTTACTGTTATTATTAACACTTAACTACTTTTAGATATTATTTTTACCACTTATATTATTATTATTATTATTATTATTATTATTATTATTATTATTATTATTGTTATTATTATTATTATTATTATTATTATTATTATTATTATTATTATTATTATTATTATTATTAGTTTTGTTTCAAGTTTTGTTAGTATATAATGGCCGTGAGGCACACAATAATAATATAACCATAATTAAATATTCTTGTATTGTAATCCGTGAGTCACAATAATAAGGTAATAATAATTAAGCTCGCATGGGTAGCTCAACTGGTCATAGAGGTGAAACTTTGGAAGAATGACCAGGGATCGAGTCTTATCAGCGGTAGTGTGGGAGCAACCTCTCAAAGTGAGGGGGGTTTCTTGTGCGCAGTGAGCGAGTCTTATCAGCGGTAGTGTGGGAGCAACCTCTCAAAGTGAGGGGGGTTTCTTGTGCGCAGTGAGCACCGGTCTAGCCTCTGTAGGGTTGGGGTTTTTCCTTTTTGAAGAATATAATAATAATTAAATATTCTTCGAGGATTTCTATTACCATCATTAATTATTCCCTAATTTACCATAATTAAATAATTTGACCAATTATAAAGAGAGATTATTAAAAAATGCACGGGACAATTAAAAAATTTAAAAATTCATTAATAAAACATAAGGTTCACATAGTTTTTTCTTAGAAACAATTTAATAAAGCATTTTTTTTTAGAAATTGGTGGGCCAAACCGCCTACGGCAGTTTGCGGTGGATAGATCTCGAAAAAATACGCAATTTCAAAAAAACATTTGTCCAAAATGGACAACCGAGTCAAAAGTTATGCCTTGCCGAACTTTTGACATTTCACATCTTTTACCCAGAATTATTGTACGAATGGGAAAGATCAATATATTTTATTGGGAAGAGAGATTTTTTAGGAATTGGGCGGGAAGTTAAAATTTCAGGATTTTGTTTTTATATATAGTATAGATTAGATGTGCAAAGGGAATTGTATTACACTATTTTATAATTTTAGAATAGAATTTTTACCCAGAATTATTGTACGAATGAGAAAGTAGAAGTTAATATATTTTATTGAGAAGATAGATTTTTTAGGAATTGGGCGGGAAGTTAAAATTTCAGAATTTTGTTTTTATATATAGTATAGATTATATGTGCAAAGTGAATTGTATTACACTATTTTATAATTTCAGAATAGAATTTTTACCCAAAATTATTGTACGAATGAGAAAGTAGAAGTTAATATATTTTATTGGGAAGATTAATTTTTTAGGAATTGGGCGGGAAGTTAAAATTTCAGGATTTTGTTTTTATATATAGTATAGATTATATGTGCAAAGTGAATTGTATTACACTATTTTATAATTTCAGAATAGAATTTTTACCCAGAATTATTGTACGAATGGGAAAGATCAATATATTTTATTGGGAGGAGAGAGTTTTTAGGAATTGGGCGGGAAGTTAAAATTTCAGGATTTTGTTTGTAAATATAGTATAGATTAGATGTGCAAAGGAAATTGTATTACACTATTTTATAATTTTAGAATAGAAGTTTTACCCAGAATTATTGTACGAATGGGAAAGTAGAAGTTAATATATTTTATTGGGAAAAGAGATTCTTTAGGAATTGGGCGGGAAGTTAAAATTTCAGGATTTTGTTTTTATATATAGTATAGATTATATGCAGTAATTTGTCATATATAAATTTCTTACTTTAGTAATATTAATCATATGATAATCTATTCTATTAATAAAAAAATAAAATCCTCACTGCATAACACAAAGAGAAGAATAAAAAACACCATCATGATACTCAATACTTTTTTTTTTTTTTTTTTGAAAATCATGATACTCAATACTTAAAACACAACCAACAATATATTTTTTAAAAAAATCGAATCGAACAAATAATTCATACTCTAAAAACAAAAAATATAAGAACATTGGTTTTTTTTTTTTATAAGAATTAAATTACATGAAATCAAGTTTAGGTCAATAAAAGCAAAAAATATTAAATGGTACTTTCAAGCATGCACATACATGAATATTTTAATCTACTGGCCTTCAATTCTTTCTCAGAATCAGAAGAAGTGGAACCCGCTTTCCACCACATTCTTCTGAATCTTGCCTTCGACATTTTTTTTCTCTATAACTTGTTTTAAAGCTGAAACCTTTTTCTGTTTTTTTTTTTTTTTTTTTTTTTTTTTTTGCGATGGCCTTCTCGACCGTAGCTTTCGCTTCTCTCTTAACTACAAAGTCATTACAAAATAGTGAACTCGGTTAATATCCCCTACTGACTCTGTAACCATTGCATCGCACAAATAACAAAAACAGTGCTTGGAAATAAAATATACAAACAATATTACAAAATTATTGCTTTAAACAAAGCAATAATACGAAGAAAAAAATACATATAATACAAAATTTTAAAAACAAAAACAATAATTAAAAATTACAAAAGATCAAGAGAAAAGGGTCAAATAGGCCCCTGAACATTTCGTGAAAAGTCAATTAGGCCCATAAACTTTTTAAAAGTGCAATTGAACATATGAACTCATGATTTTGAGTCATCCGACCCCATTAGCAGGTTACCTCCCTAATAGGTGTCGGTAACTGCCCTCGTGGCTTGCCACATAAGCGATGTTTTGATTATTTGGATTGCCACATAAGCATAAATTAAAAAAAAAAAAAAAAACTTTTGAACGCCCATGTTCTTCTTCTTCTTCTTTATTCTTCTGCTTCACGCTCCATCATCTTCATCTGTATTTATTTCACTTATTATTATTATTATTATTATTATTATTATTATTATTATTATTTTATTATTATTATTAGTTTGGAGACGAATCATCGTGAGGATCAAGAAACTCCATCGTCGTCATCGTGTTCATCCTCGGAGGCCGATGATGAACATCAATTTACTTCACTGCTTCTTCTTTCTTCTTTATTCATTTCACTGCTTCTGCTCCTCGACGCTGCCTTGAGGATTCAGAAGCAACAACAGGCTGAGAAAAAGGCTAGATCCCAGATCAAGAACGTTGGTTTGGGGCTATTCGGGTCCATTCTGAAGCGATTGAAGGATCGAAACAGGAACAAAAAGAGGGAGAATAATAAGAACGGTACTGAGGATCAGAGGAAGTTCATCATAGTTTCAGGCAAGGATGATGATAATGTAGTAAATGAAGCTGTGGGGGTGAAGGGAAATGGAGATGCACGTATGGGAGTTTCTTGCTATAGTAGGCTTAGTAGTGCGGGGTGGTTGGAGAGCAACGAAAAGAAGTCTTTGGATTTGGAGACTTCCAGCAGTTGCAGGTCTGAAGAAGAGTCGGAAGAAATTGATGAGAGATTGAGCGCCGATTTCCAAGCCTTTGAAAGCCTCTTCTGTTCAAGCCCTCTAAGCCCATTCAGATTCTCCCTCGAAAGATGCGAATCTCCTGGTCGCCGGACGCCGGACTTCTCTTCTCCGCGACCTCTCCCAATCTCTGCAGACGACAGGTGCCACTCTCTCTGTCTTTTTCCTCATGGAATTATCACTTAATCATAAATTTTTTATGAACACGATAACAACGATGGAGTTTCATGATCCTCACGATGATTCGTCTCCAAACTACTACTACTACTACTAATAATAATAATAATAATAATAATAATAATAATAAGTGAAATAAATAAAGATGAAGATGCTTAAGCAGTGAAATAAATAAAGATGAAGATGATAAAGCGGTGAAATGAATAAAGAAAAAGAAGACAAGCAGAATAAAGAAGAAGAAGAATAGAGCGTTCGGAAGTTTTTTTTTTTTTTTTTTTTTTTTTAATTTATATAATCCAAACATAGTTTATGTGGCAAGCCACGAGGGCAGTTACAGACACCTACTAGAGAGGTAACTTGCTAATGGGGTCGGACGACTCGAAATCATGAGTTCATGTGTTCAATTGCACTTTTAAAAAGTTCATGGGCCTAATTGACTTTTCACGAAATGTTCAGGGGCCTATTTGACTATTTTCTCAAAGATCAATTATAGACAAAAATAATACGAAAAATAAATACTTTTCTTAAAAAATTAAACTTGTTTGCATCGGCTTAGTCGGAGCAACTACAGCTGGTCTGGAGTGACATCAACCCGGACAAGTCCATAATAAAGAATGTAAATGAAAAAATAATAACTTTTTTCGCAGAGATAAAAATAGCTAGAAGAGAAATTGTACCTTTAATGCTTTGAAATATGCATATTAGTTTGAGTGGCTATTGAACCACAATGATTAATAAATTGATAAATAGGTGATGAGAGAGTCATTGCAAGGGAAAAGAGGGACCAAAGGTAAAATGAAGACTCATAATTTTTTTAGTCTATCAACTCGTTGTATTTATAGGTGAAAAATATAAAAATTATAAATTTGTAAGATTTTTCAAAAAGAAAGTGTATTTATTTATTTAAGGTATTGCCATAACCAATTCATTATATTGATATTCCTAATCAAGTCATTATATTAATATTAATATTAATATTAATATTAATATTCCTAATTAATTCATAACATTGATATTACTAAATTGTCCATAAGTTTGAGCGGAAAAACGAAATAGGAGGATATATATATATATATATATATATATATATATATATATATATATATATATATATATATATATATATATATATATATAGATTATGTGGTCTATTATTATGTCAAAGATTTTAATCTAATTCTAATCAAAATTAATACATTAATATAATTACTTTTTAACCTTTCAGATTTAATTATGGCCTTATTTATACTATATTTCTCACTCAATCTCATCCTTCAATTACAAATGTATTAATGGATGGGATGTGATCTTATGATCTCATTTAATATGAGGGTCTCATGGGATTTGCACCCTCTATATATATATATATATATCAAGGTTGCAAAACTCGGTCGCCTAGGTGCTAGGCGGCACCCATCCTTGCCGTTTTGGCCTATAGTCGGTCGATTTCGTTCGATTTTGACCGATTTCGTCTTTCATTAATTATTGATTTTAATATCATTATGATGTTATGGCTTATAAATTATCGTTATTTCATTTATTTGGACGTGTTATTTGATTGAATGTTGAAAACAGGCTCATTAAAATTGTCAAACTACAAGTCTGTCACTATTTTTTTTAAATTTTTTTGGTGCCCACCTAACGCCACCTAGATTCCGCCTAGGCGCCGCCTAAACTGCCTAGGCGCTAGGCGCTGCCGAGACACCCGACTAGCGTCTAGCGCCTACTGCAACCTTGATATATATATATATATATATATATATATATATATATATAACATAATTAAATAATGAATTAATGATATAACCGTTACAAACGTTACAAAAATAATAATTATTTCCATAATAAATAAATAAAATATTTATAACAAAAACAACATAATACAAAGGTTTCCTAAATATTTGACCAGATTTAGTAATTTATTATTCCGCAGGATCAAATCCCTATTAATCATAATGAATTTGCTAATTACCTTGATCTGTGGTACCCAGCTCGGGCGGGTCCACACACCACACTGCGCCATTGCGGCATAAAAGGCTAAAAGGCAAAGGCTCCCCAGAACGAGAAAAATAATTTAAAAAAAATCCAAATTCCCCAGCTCCATTGTCCAGTTTCACTGATGGAGGCTTCGTTGCAATTCAGAACCACCGCACCGGCGGCGACGGTAAGACCGGCGGTCTCATTTCGAACCCCAATCAATCTCACACCCAAAAGGTTCGGCTTCTCCAGTGCCGGGGCTCTCATGTCAAACCCGAAACGCATTTCCCTCTCTTGTTCTCCAATTCGAGCTCAACAGGTTCTAGGTTTTCGTTTTTCTTCGTTCTTTGTTGGATGCCAAAACGCAGTTTTTAAGTCTGAAATTTGGTTTGAGCAATAGTGGTAATTTGTTCATTTTTTTAGCCTGACTTGAAGGAAGAGTCCGCAACGCTTTCTGAATCGAATATATCGGAAGCAGAGGCCCTGAAAATCAAGGAATGGGAAGTGCAGAGGCTCCAGGATGAGGTTGCTGCTAACCAGGGTATAAGGATTCGGAGAAGGCCGCTTACAGGGCCGCCGTTGCATTACGTTGGCCCTTTCGAGTTTCGGTTGCAGAACGAAGGGAACACACCTCGGAACATTCTAGAAGAGATTGTTTGGAACAAGGACAAGGAAGTTTCTGAGGTACTCTTTGATTGAATTACTGAATGGCGGTTGTTTCACTTTTGGAATAATGTATCTTTGTTATGAACTGTGAAGTGCTTATGAGGATTTGGTTGTGTTGATTAGTTTGACTGCCTTGATTTCATTATTATTTTTTTTTAACAGATGAAGGAGAGAAGACATCTTGGCACGTTGAGGAAAGCACTTGAGGAAGCACCTCCTGCTCGAGATTTTGTTGGTGCTCTTAAGGCATCTTATTCTAGAACTGGATTGCCTGGCTTGATTGCTGAAGTGAAGAAGGCTTCTCCAAGCAGAGGGATATTAAGAGAAGATTTTGATCCTGTAAGGTTTCAGTGTTTTATTTTATTTGGCCAACTCATTTATATTTGAGAAAGTGATAGCTAATGAAGATTAGATGCATAATTCATTTTCCTTGAAATACATCATGGTGGAATCTATTTGGATATTAACTGTTTGAAAGTGAAATAATAAAAGCAGAAGGAAGATGTAATGAAAGGAACAGAAATAGCAATTGTGTGGGACGGGGAACTGGAACTTTTTGAAACTCATCATATATATTGAACAAATGTAGTATCTGCTGCAACCACAACCTTCAGGGGAAAGAAAAAGATACCAAATCCTCATAGGAAGTTATCTTTAGTATAGTTAACACTATTGCTCTATCTCATCCTCAGTTAGCTTTATTATGCAATAGCAACTTGTAATCATTTGCTATGAGTAGTTTGGCATGAAATTAAGAAATAAAATGAATTGCAGTGAGAATTTCACATGGGACAAATAAGCTCTGCTATATTCTTTCAAGGATGTTATTTATTTATTTTTTGGGAGGGGGAAATGGGGAATAAGTATGGATCGTATCCAAGGCACTGAGGAGGTATGATCCAATACACTATATATATATATATATATATATATATATATATATATATATATATATATATATATATATATATATATATATATATACATACACACACGTTCCCTAGGGTCGCTCCTCCACGGGGCTTGCCAACGGTCCCTGCCTAGGGCCGTTGGCTAGCTCCGTGACTCCATCTGGTGCATACTATCTGTGCACCAATGGGGTTCTTCTTCACATGCAATAACTCACAGAGCAAAACAACACTCCCAAATCCTCAACAACACATCATAGATCAACAATAGATCACTTAATAGCTGAACAACATCAATACTCTAGCATTTCTAAGCATTTAAACTATAAGCTAGACTTCACAGAGTCAATAAAAAGCTAGTTGGGAGTCCATGGGTTATACCTCAACTTCGCTCCAAAAGCCATATATATATATGTATGTATGTATATATATATATATATATATATATATATATATATATATATATAGAGAGAGAGAGAGAGAGAGAGAGAGAGAGAGAGAGAGACCTTTAAGGTGATGGCATTGACTATATGTGGGTTTTTCTTCCAGTCTCCTACTAATTTAACTATGCTAGTTCACCCCAAATTTAGACCTATTATTTGTAGAAAAGGTCAAAAGCTCTTATATTTTGTGTCTATATGAAAAGTAGTCATTATGCCAATAGTTGAATAAGGAGAGAATAACATTTGAACATGTTTAGCTAAAATCAAATTCCAAAATCTGATTTTCTGAGGTTTCATTCTTCTTTCTCGCATTCTAAAAGCTTAGAATGGGAAAGACAAATATTAAGCAATGATATTTTCAATGCATCACTGCACCATTTGAATGAGTCACAAATGTTTGTGCATATGTAAACATATAATGGCACAACCATTTATTTATTTTATCAAGTTCTTTAATCAAATGTGCAATCTAATTCTATCATTGGATGGAATTCCAACCTTGGGCATTGCCCTTGATACTCAATGGTGATCCTATCCATCAACTAGAATATATGCCATCTATATACATCATAAATTAAATGATGCTAGTTAACTCAGCTGCTTTGTGATGTTTTCCATGACAGGTTGAAATTGCCAAAGCTTATGAGAAAGGTGGAGCAGCATGCCTTAGTGTTTTGACTGATGAGAAGTATTTTAAGGTAAAGATTAATATTTGAGCTGTTAGGCAATTGCTTAAATATTAGTACATATTTATTAGACTGCTTTTTTACATTCTTTTGGAAAATTAGGGAAGCTTTGAAAACCTTGAGGCTATAAGGAATGCTGGAGTGACGGTATGCCCTTAGCTTAGTGTGCAAATAACATCTTTAAAAGAATATTCAATTCCTTTTCATTTTTTTGAATCCTTCCTAACACTCAACAATAATGCAGTGTCCTTTGTTGTGCAAAGAATTTATTATAGACGCATGGCAAATTTACTATGCTCGAACCAAAGGGGCTGATGCAGTTCTTTTGATTGCCGCTGTTTTACCTGATCTTGATATAAAATATATGATTAAGATCTGCAAATTGCTTGGGATGACTGCACTTGTTGAGGTTTGTTTAATACTTTCTCATATCCTTATCTCTTGCACTGCATCCCACCATCCACAGGGTGACACCCCCTTCACTTTTGGTAAGGTCAAAGTTGGGTATGGGACCTTGGATAATCATGTGTACATGAAACATTATGAATGAGTTTAAATCTTCAATTTATGCTTTTTATCTTCTGATAATTTGTGCCACTTGAAGAATTGATGGATTTTCATGATCAGAATCAAAAGGGCACCTCCTAGTATGCTGTTGCTTTTATCCTGCATACACAAACACAAACCCCACTGCAGTTTATAGATGAATTTTTAATGTCAAACTGGTACCTGTTGAGGCAAGTTGAATTGTATTTGTTGCAATAAGTAGTATTTGTGGTCTGGAAAAGTGAAAAGATTAAACAAATTGCTAATATTAATCCAAAGAATCAAAAGACCAATTAAATGGAGTATTTATTAATATTGGTTCTGTTCTATTGAGTTTTTGTGGTGAAATGAAATAAGCATCTCATTATGTTCAAAGTAACTAGGTAATTCTTTCTTTGGTGTTCCATCTTCTAGGTACATGATGAGAGGGAGATGGATCGTGTGCTTGGAATAGATGTGGTTGAACTGGTTGGCATCAATAACAGAGACCTAGGTATTTTCTCTAATTTGACATATATGCATACTTTATGGCATTTTTCAGAATTGTTATTTTGTTTTATCTTTTAGTATATATTCTTCTTACATGTAAAGACTAATGTTTTAGTACCTAAAGTTTTTCCACATCAAATAGTAATCGTTAACCATCAAATAATGTTTAAACATGCACTTTGAAAAGTATTTTATGTAAAAATGTTGGCCTAACATGAGGTTTTCCCTCTTAATTATGCCAACAAGTTTTCTTGAAGTAGATGAGCTTTAAAATAAGCTGAGCCAAACACGCACTATCCATTGTGTAAATTTTACTAATATGCAAGTTTAATAATTTTTGGGAGGGATGGAATGAGAAATAAATGCATCTCTAGGGGGTGTAGTAAAACCAAAAACAGCCTAAAGAGGATTGAAATTTAGCATTAAGCATTTCATGCGATCTGCTATATACCTTAAAATGTTGTTGCCAACAAGTTGCACTTTGTGTTTTGTCAGGAACTTTCAAAGTTGATATTAGCAACACAAAGAAACTCCTTCAAGGAGAACGTGGGGAAAAGATCCGTGAGAAGGGCATAATTGTAAGAAATATTTTATTTGCATCCTGTCCTTTTGTAGTTTTTATCTCAACCTTTATTTATTTATATTATCCTATGCTTGGTTCCGTAGGTTGTTGGGGAATCTGGACTATTTACTCCTGCTGATATTGCATATGTACAAGAAGCTGGTGTCAGAGCAGTAAGCTGTGAAATTATTGCCTTATAAATTCTATATTACTTTTGAATCATTTGATTGCTAATAACTATATACCGTTTTCTTCCATATTAGTAAGGGGTAAAAATTGGAATAATGGAATAGAGAAAGATGGACATTTTGTTGACCGAGATAAACTGGTGGTAATATGATCTACTGGGGATATTGTGACCTTGTATCTAGTTTCAGATTTCCCTCCTGACAGGATATATCATAGAGACTAGTGGTGCAATTATCAAGTAGCAATAAGTACTGTCAAAAGAGGGGGTTGAAGGTGGATTAATCTTGAAAAAAGTGTGTATTGACTGGGTTCATGACTATTACTAAGATGTACTGTGAACCTACGATAATATTACTTACACTACACACACTGATGGGGGTGGGTTTGGGTATTGCACACACGACTCCTCCATGCTTGTACTTTTGGCGCAAGCAATTGGACAGTAATGAGGAGTTGCACCTTGTCTGCATGTCCTCCCATCAAACTGATCTAAGTGATCAAACCAAATAATGGGAATTTTCAGATGATGAAGCAAAGCTTGTTACCACTTAACAATCATTTCACATTTGGTGTCTTTGCAGGTTTTAGTGGGAGAGTCGATTGTGAAACAGCAAGACCCTACAAAAGGAATTTCTGAACTATTTGGTAAAGATATTTCCTGCTGAGATCCCAGAAGACTAAGGCTTATGTATCTCTTTGGGCCTTTGGGTTTAATTGAACCTTGAACAGGTTCTTATACAGTTTTGTGTTGTATCTAGTACCTTAAATCCTTAAAGTTCCCAAATTTGGTTACTTATCTCTCTCAGTGAAATACCCAAATAATTATTAGTTGTATAAACAAAATGCTTTTGCTATTTCAGCTTGAGCTGAGAATTGAGAAATGTTTTACTGGTTTAATCAATGCTAGTGTCCTGTCATATATATATGAAGGATTATAGTGACGATTAGAACAAATCTCGTTCGTAACAAACATCACAAACAAAATGAGACAGATGGAGTATATACTTAAATACACCTCACTTTTGGAAAATCTGCATTGTTTTGAGAAAAAATATGTAAGTATGTAGAAGTTTAAATGAATGATGTAGTGCATCGATTTTGGATAACATTACACTATTTTGGAAAAAAGTTTGCATTCTTTTAAACTAAGAGTCCATTTGGAAACTTAGAAAATATTTTCTGGAAGTTAGTTTTTAGATTTTTCAATGTTTGAGTATTCAAGGAAAAATGAAGTTAAAAGAAAATATTCATTCTGGTCAATGAAAAAAAAAAGGTTCTATTTATCGAAAAATGTCTTTCTAATTTTTTAGTTTGAAGACAGTTTTCAGATTCTTTATTTTACATCTCTTCCCTCCATTTTTAAGTTAGTTTCCAGATTGCCAAGCACTCTGTGCTCAATTGGCACCTCTGTGACTCCTTTGAGTGAAGGTCACAGGATCGAACCTTGGTGGTAAGGTATGTATTGACTCTTTGGGCTACAACTGATTGAAAACGTTTCATTTTTCAGGAAAAATGAATCAAACAGAAAAAATGCAATTTTTTTAATTTTCAACCAAACATAAAAAATACTTTTATGACATTCAGCCAAACACCATAAAATTAAAATATTTTCTGAAAAATGAGTCATTTTCTAAAAGTCATTTTTCAAAAAATGGTTTTCAAGTTTCTAACGGACTCTAAATGAATATTGGGTCATTTTCTGAAAATTATTTTTTGAAAAATGTTTTCCAAGTTTCTAAACGGGCACTAAATGAATATTGGACTGACTTTTCATACATATATTGTTATATTACAATTGTTATGCCGTGGAATCGGGTCCACCTTGCAAGGTGGACGCGACTCCAATACGGCGTCGTTCGATAATTTTGGAGTAACGGTGCTGCTAGTGGCAACATTTTCCTCAACAAATCGATTTCCCAAATTGGAATGAACAAGAAAAGACGATTTTACCCCTTCCAATTCAGTTCAATTGTTGACTTAAGATTTTCCGGTCACATTTGACCGGTAATTTGGCCGGCGTGACCAAAATTGATCAGAATTGCATAGTCAAGGTACTAAATTAACATTTTTGAAAGTCAAGTGTTGCAATTAACACAACTCCAATAGTCAGTGGACCAAAATTGAAATTTATTCTTTGAAGAAATATATGCGCAGACTGCTGAAAGGAATCATAGAGCGCAAATTACTTTAAATTAAAGTGCAAAACATAAATTTCCAATTTTACCTTTCATTTTAACACCAGCTTAACACCAAAGTTAACAGAGGACTACTTTGGTTTAAAATTCAAAAGTCGAAGGACAACTTTGAAAAAAATTAAAAGTCAAGGGACCAATTTAAGAAAAGGTCATAGTCGGAGAACCATTTTGAGAATTAACTCTAGTATGAATTGTCACTCTTGATGCTATTACCGCCAATTTATATAATCAATAACAAATAATGAAAAGCATATTAAAAATGCCCAATTTTTTTTTTTTTTTTTTTTTTTTTTTTTTAACATAGTTGGAGAATACCTCCTACTCATAGGATCATGCTTAGAATTATTATTATTATTATTTTTTATCAAAGAACAACTCGTTGTTTTTACACTCTAAAACATTCAAATTTAAATAAATTTAACCAAACTAATTGCCATAGTGGGGTAGAGGAACCCTAGAATGCTAGTGCGATCCTCTTTCCTCCACGACATGTGGTTTCGTTACGATAATCTCCCAATGGAGACCAGTGTGATCGAGGAAGGTTGTGCGGTGCTATCCTTGGCGACGGAGGAGACGGGCGGATTAGACGCTCCTGATATCCACGCGGCGATCTGAGACGGCGCATCATGAGCTGGTTGGCCGTTTTTTGACCGATCGAATGATTAAGTTCGATCACATGCAACAGGTGTTGGCTTCGGTCTGGCGTTCGGTGATGGGGATGCGTGTACTGCCGATCACCGACAATATGTTTCTGTTCCAATTTCCGCACTTGAAGGACATGCAACGGGTAGTGGACGATGGTCCTTGGTCCTTCGAAAATCATACCCTCGTTTGCGACAAAGTTCCGATCGGCGGTAATCCGGAGGAGGTGGTCCTCAACGACGTCTCCTTCTGGGTGCAGATCCATGATCTTCCCACAGTTTATGCATCACCTGGATTCATCAATCGCATCAGCGACTACGTAGGCGTCTTCCTCGCAACTGATCCTAATAACTTTGGGGGTGCTTGGAGGAGCTTCTTCAGGATCAGAGTGCGGCTTGATGTGAATGCTCCGCTGAAGAGGTGAATGAAGCTATGCCGTAAGGACGGATCAGTGCATTGGGTAAGCTTTAAATATGAACTTCTTGGCACTTTCTGCTTCTGTTGTGGAGTGCTTGGACACTCTGATAAATTCTGCAGAAGAGTGTACGAAGAGGGTGTTGAGCCTGAGGCGTTTCCTTATGGCCCCTGGATGAGGGCGGGTGCTCGTTGACAAGCCCGACCAGTAGGGGCAAAGTGGTTGTTGGCCGAGCTCCCACAGGCCTCGCCGCGATCACAGGCTTCCAGTATGGGGGTTGTGACTCGGGATGTCGTGGTAGTGGAGGAAAGTGGTGGTTTGCAAAGGGATCTGGAGAGGCGTAGCGGTGGCAGTACGGAGGGAATTGGCGTTGTTATGGCTGAAAACCCAAAAAACTCATCTACGGCGGGTCTGGTAATCCAGACTCGCCCTGCACAATGAGTACTTTGAGTTGGAACTGCCGGGGGTTGGGTAGCGACTAGACAGTTCAAGAATTGTTGGGCCTTGTGTCCAGAAAGCAACCCAGTTTCGTGTTTCTAATGGAACCGAAATCTATAACATGTCAAGTGGAACGAGTTAGGGTGAAGTTGGGGTACGAAGGGCTGTTATGCGAGGATCGAGTAGGTTTGAGTGGGGGTTTAGCACTTCTATGGAGGGATACGGGTCTGGCTTCTTTACTTAGCTATTCTACAAGCCATATTGACGTTGTTGTCTCACTGTCGGGCAAACCAAAATGGCGGCTTACTTGTTTTTATGGTCAGCCTGATAGAACACGAAGACACATGTCCTGGGATCTTCTCTGTGAGCTCAAGGTTCGTTCTGATCTCCCTTGGGTCGTCTTGGGTGATTTCAATGATGTTGCTTATCAGTGTCTGAAAAACGTGGGCCGCATCCACAACCCATGTTTCTCATTGAAGGATTCAATGATGCTTTAAACGATTGCCATCTGATTGATTTGGGCATGACAGGCAGTAAATTTACCTGGGATCGAGGACGGGGTACGAAGGCATAGGTAGAAAAACGTCTCGACCGGGCGGTGGCAGATGTGCGTTGGCTAGATATCTTTGAGGAAGCAGTGGTTCAGAATCTGCTAGCACTCTCCTCCGACCATAGTGCGATTTTTCTCGATCTGGAAACGAGGAATATCTGTGCTGGCAGGAGGTCCTTCAAATTCGAATCCGCCTGGTTACTAGAGGAGGGGTGCGGCAAGGTGGTTGAGCAAGTGTGGAGGTAGTCTATCGGCATGGATTTCCAGCAGCGTATCTATGAATGTGGTCGCTAGGGTGAGGAGTACGTCAAACGTTTTGGCACACAAATGAAACAGCTTCGTGCCAGGTTGGACATCCTCAGGGACTCTAGGGAACCACAGGCAGTGCATGAATACTTGCGGTGGAAAGGGAGTTATTGTCACTATTGCGACAAGAAGAGATTTTTTGGAAACAGCGGTCGAAGCAACTCTGGCTGCAGCACGATGATCTAAACACTAAGTACTTCCACAAGGCGGCTTCATCGCGTCGTCGTAGAAATCTGTTACGACGGGTCAAGAACACGGATGGCGACTGGGTGGAGGGTTCGGGGTTGAATTTGGAGATTCTGAGATACTACAATGGCATCTACAGGTCGTCGGGCATCTTTGATAGAGTGTCAGGCCGAGTGACAATAGACATGAATGTTGCTTTGCTGCTACCGTTCACTATGGCCGAAGTCAAGGCTGCGCTGTTTTCGATGGCCCTAGAGAAACCGCTGGGTCCGGATGGTATGTCACCTGTGTTTTATCAACATTTCTGGCCCGTTATTGGGCATGATCTATCTCTATTTATTATGCAATGTATCGCAAGTAGAAGGCTGCCACAAGGACTCAACGAATCCAACATCGTGTTGCTCCCAAAGAAAAAGGTCCCCGAGGAGGTTTCTAATTTACGCCCGATTGCATTGTGCAACGTTGCGTACAAGGTTTTGGTGAAAATGTTGTCCAACCGTCTTAAAGAGATGCTTCAGAGTGTTGTGTCGGCATCTCAAAGCGCGTTTGTACCCAACAGACTTTTAACCGATAACATCATTGTTACTAGGGAGGTGGGTCACTATCTGAGAAGAAAATCAAGCGGGGCGATGGATTGGACTGTGCTGAAACTCGATACGGCCAAGGCCTACGATCGGATGGAATGGGGATTTTTGGAAGGGATGTTGGTGGCACTGGGTTTTTATCGTGGGTGGATAGAGCTGCTATTGATATGTGTTACGTCCGTGACTTACAACATTCAGGTTAATGGTGACTCGGTGGGCTCGGTTTGTCCTACCCGTGGCATTCGGCAAGGAGACCCACTGCCCCCCTATCTGTTCATCTTATGTGTTGAAGGTCTGTCCATCCTATTACAACAAGCTGAGGCACGAGGGGACATACATGGGATCAGAATCGCAAAGGGAGTTCCTTCTGTCTCGCATCTCTTCTTCGCGGACGACAGTCTATTTTTCTTCATAGGCACTCACGAGGAAGCACAGAAGATTAAAGAGTGCCTGGAGGTTTATAGTGCAGCCTCGGGGCAAATAATTAATTACGAGAAGTTGAACGCTATGTTCAGCACGAATACGACTTAGGATACATGGGGCTTAGTGACAGAGTGTGTTGGGGTCAGAGAAGCCACTGACTTG